ACACACGGAAGCTTACATTATTGTGGGAAATACGGCCAGCTACCTACACACTATCTCTTCTCCCTCCTTCCGTGGGAAGCCCCACTTGTTCAGGGCAGCACTGGGCTCAGCTAAAAACTCACTTCTCCAAACTCCCCTTGTCTATGGAGGCCAACTGCCCCAATTCTGGGAACCCTTTCTTTGCTTTCTTTTTCCCCAAAGCACCATCTTAGACATATGCTTTTTCCTAGTCCATCTCCCTACATGCAGCTCTTGTGAGCTCTTCATCACAATATCCTGGAGCCCGGGCCAGCATCCTGTGCACAGAGCTGGTGCTCACCGTGCAGGCACTGCAGGGAGACCCGGGTGGGATACAGGGCTGCATGGGCTCACACACCAAAAAAGACACAGCCTGGTTCCTGACAGCTTACTGGGCCTCAGTGCCAACCAACCATGGGACAAGGGTTATCTAATGAACCTTGGGTTTGTTTATGCCCCTATTTGTCACGCTTTCCGAGGCTAAACTTGTTTCTAACAGATAGGGTTATAAAGGTATCTCTGAGCAAAATGGCTCAGAGATACCTTTTTAGAAATTCTTGAGACTAACGGGTAAATAACAAGACGTTTAACTAACATTTACCCTTTCAGCCAGTTGACACAAACCGAAGATTGGTGTAATGAAGTAGGCAGTCTCAATAGCCAACATAAATAGATACAAATAGAAGAGGTTCAAGTGAAAGCTCCCTTGGTCTTCTTTATTATATTTCGGTGAAAGCACATGGAGAGATTAGACAGGCTGTAATAAAATAAGGATAAATGGGGCCTTTCTCGAACCAGGGAGGGTTGGTTTGTTCTATACCTCTCTAGCTCCCCATCTATCTGCTTCTCTATCGCCTAGCATCTATCTATCATGCAGGTCACCCACATCTCCAGGCCAAATTAGTATCAGCTAGCAGCCCCACTAGGCAGGGTATCAGGGGCAGTGATGTCAGCTGTCGGACTTCTTACTGCCTGTCTCTCTACAAAACGCCCACCTTTTTTGGTCATATCTATCCATCTATCTATCTAATATACAAAGTGTCCCCTTGGGAGTTCAACCTGGAGTTCAATCGCTCGCTATGGCATTCACTGACCACCAGGGGGAGATGTAGAACGAAGGAAGGCTCCAGCCAGCAGCCAGTGGCTGGGGAAGGAAGACCCCACCTGGCCCCGATCACTGCCAAGCCTAGGGGCTCTACCTATGCACAAATTTCATGCACTGAGCCTCTACTATTACTATAATTTAAGACCTGTATTACTATATTACTGTTAAATGCTAGATACTCCTGGGAGAGCTGGTGTGTTTTTTAGAAATCAAACATTTGCTTTACAATTAATGCCTGAAACTTTCCGTAAACAGGTTTCAACTAGGGGGGAAGGGAAGAAGCACGGTGTGCCCAGGCCCCTGAGACAACTGGGTGGGGTGAGGGAGACCGTAGTTCTGGAAGGCAGGAGTCACAAGGGCCAGTGGCTCGATTCCCATGTGGTCTAGCGCAATCTGCGTCTAAGGGCAGGGCTACTGCAGGATCCATCCATTTTTGTTGACTGAGTTCTCTTGCCTTTCAAATGAAAAGCATAAGGCAATTTCTGCCCCGTAAAACAACACAGCTGACTCAGAGGGATATTTTGGTTGGCACCAGACACAGCCCTCTGGTTTGCCAGGTCATCCTCCAGGGCTTGTGAAGTTACCAGCAAGCATTTAGATCTAAAGACTAACAGGATTTTGCATTTCAAAGTATTTGCATTTTCAAGTACACAAACACAAACAATTCAATATAAACACTGTGTTAAACCTACTCCCACTGTAATCTGACCTAGAGTGCCCAGAGTGATACCTCAATCTTTCTAGATAATCCTTTATAGAAGATTTAATCCAAAATAATTATTAATTTAAGAATAGGTACCCCCATTCTTCAAGACATAGTAAAAATTGATTCTGGCAAGAATCATTAAATGAATCTCCTAGCCGCTGTGGCTCAGTGGACTCAGGTTTTATTCCTGGTCAGAGAACATACCCAGCTTGCAGATTTGATCCCCAGTCAGGTGGAGTATGGGAGACAACTAATCAATGTTTTTCTCTCTCTCTCTCTCTCTCTCTCTATATATATATATATATATATATATATATATATATATATATCCCTTCCTCTCTCTCTAGAATCAATTTTTTTTTTTTTTTTAAAGAAAGGAATTTAAAACTACTAGGTAAAAATTTGATGAGGAACAAGATACAGACATGGTCTCAGGTGACCTCCCACAGAATATTTTTTAATGCAAAGGGAAAATTGTAACTTCTCAATTAATAATGCTTGATTGCAATTAGTAACACCAATAATGGAACAAGCAGATATGAGGCACTGAGGAGAAAAACATCAAAACTGCATTTTCTGAATCTCAAAAAGAAACTCAGATTGAGGACTATTTCACAAGACAACCAACCAGCTTACACTCCTTAAAAATATCAACATCAAGAAGGACCAAGAAAAGCCAAGAAGTCCTTTCAGATTAAATGTGACAAGAAACATGGCATGCAAATGCAATGAAAGATTTTTGCTAAGTGTTGTATTGAAAAAGAAGTGTTCTAACAAACACTGCTGGGACAATGGAGGAACCCTGAATATAAACTGTACTTCAGGAGAGTCAGTATTCAAATGCCTCTACCTGGTAAGTATAGTGTGGCTGAAAGAGACTGGCTGCGGCCTCAGGAGACAGAAGCTGGAGTATTTAGGGCAGTGAGCTGTGTTGTCTGCAATTTACTCCCAAGTTGTTCGGCAGTAACAATTAGTGATATTATAGAGGAAGAAGAGGGAGCAAGAGTGCGAAAATCGGCGAGTCGACGTGAAAGTTCTATGGACATTCATTGCACAATTCTAAATTTACTTTAAGTTTAACATATTTTCAACAGTTCTTCGAAGTAAAAAAAAAGAATTCCATGATTCTTAAAAACTACTAATAAGAAAGTGAAGAGTAAAATGTATTAAAACTTGCCATTTATTTAGAAACTTAAGTGAACCCTTCGAAGTTTAAGTGAACCCTTTGAGAGAACACAAACAAAATGGCAGTTCTGCAGATGAAGAGGTCGGTCTGTCAACAGCGTTCCTGCATGTAGGCTTTCCATTTGTGTTGTTGTTGTTAACCTCAGAGGAGGCCGTAGTCTCTCTGCCGGCCACAAGAGTCGGGCCACATCTCACTAAGTGAAGGATACAAACACGGAAAGAATGACTCCCCACAATTGAGGGGAAGAAGAAAGGCCAAGCCTAAGATTAGTACAAATTTGGTGAGTCACAGCCTCTCGGGAGGAAAGACGAACATTTCTTGTTTCCTGAAGGATTTTGGAGATTCTGAGGGAACCCCTGGGGCAGGTGAACCTACAGCCCACTCACTCAACACTTCCGCCCACCTCAGCTCAACACCACAGTACCTCCAGTGTCAAGGTCACTGTCAAGTCAAATCTCTCAACTAGTTGCTGGGATTCTCTTTGTTGCTGGCAGAATATATGCCACTAAAACAAAGGAAACTCAAGATAATTACCAATTTGGCTCAGTGGATGGAGCATCAGCCTGCAGACTAAAAGGTCCCAGGTTCAATTCTGATCAAAGGCATGTGCTTTGGTTGCGGGCACATCCCAGTGGGGGATGTGCAGGAGGCAGCTGAGCAATGTTTCTAACTCTCCTTTCCTCTCTGTAGAAAACTCAATAAAATATATTAAAAAAAAAAAAAAGATAATTGCACATCCATCCATCCACCAACCTTGAGTGAGCAGTGGCCTTGGTTTTCTTCTGTGCATCACCCCGCACGGGCCTCAGCCCTGAGCCAGATCTGCTGAGCCTCTGCAGCTGAGAGCTGAAGGCTTGGCACAGCAGCCTTCCCCCCGAGGAGCGGCCGGGCCAGCAGCACACACACGTGGATGGATTAGGCAGGGCTGTGCTGTAAAGCACACACACACACGCTCTCCCGACGTGTGCTTTTCATTCCAGAAATACTTCATTCCTAAACCACTTCTATGTCTCTCTTGGCATGAAACGGTCTCAGTGGCCCCGTGCCAAAGGAAGTGCCTGTTTAAACAAGTGGACTTTCTTAAACTTTCTTTACCTCAGGAGGTCATAAATAGAACATTCTAGCATAATTATAAAGGAATAAAGGAGAAACGGGAAAGGTCACAGAAAAAAAGAAAGACATGTGTGTTGTTTTTATACTGGGCAAAAGAAACACGGAACATACGAGCTGTAACATAGAATTACCCTCCAAGGGAGTTAAAAAGGACTGGGTCCAAGTTAGGACGACGGGGAAGCAAAAACATTACCTTGAAGGTCCTCGAGCATTTGCCACCTTCTGTCACAAGCCTTAATCCCTATTCTAAGGTCACTCACCGAATCAAATTACAGAGGAGGGTGTTTCAATCACGGCTTTATCCTAGAATGTAATTTTGTCCCTTGCTTCCTTATTTATGGCTTTCATCGTATACCCAAAACTAATGTAGAAGAAGAAAACCCATTTTGGTTGACTGAACTGTCCTTCCCCTTTCTCCACGCTCACATCCAGGTGTTCATTTAAGGTTCCATCACAATACGCAGTGTGAAATCAATAACTCTCCGCAGAATCGTTAGGCATCACTAGGTAAATTACAATTAAAATCAACGCTCTTATTATCTACCTATAGACAGGAACGGGCAAAAGTGCGTTTACAGTCATTATTTATTATTGTATTATTTACTTGTATTATTTGTCTTCTTATTGTTGTTAACATTTCATATCCTTACTTACGATTTGTCTTCCAGGTAATGATCGCTGGTAATTTAACTACCAGCCCACAAAAGTGGACACTTATACAAAAACCTACTTTTGCCCACCCCTGTACATGTACTCATACACACAACATACAAGGAAACTGACATCAAGCTCCACAGAACATACACAACGCGATCCCCCTCCATATGGATCTGAAAGACCCTTTTCTTAGAATTTCTGACCCTGAAACTTACTTTCTTTCCACTTCTGGTGTTGATGCGGCGCTACAGAAACCAAGCGACTCCTAGGAGAGAGAATTCACAGCATCAGTACAGGCAGAGCGGCAGGCTTCGTCAGAATATCACTTCGAAAACAAAAAGCAGAAGCAACGAGAGGTGACTAAAGCCACTGTGCTTACTTCGATCTGGGACCGCAGCTGAAGTGATGTGGGGCTGGCATCGGCTTTCTCCTAAAACAGAACAGATGCTGGTTTAATGCGACTTCCAAACGTGGCACACAGCAAGACCAGTCGGTCTGTAACCAGAGATGGGGGAATTTGGGAAGCGCTGGGCTGCAGTGGGAGGGGATGGCGGAGATAAACAGGTTTTCTGGGAAAACTAAAGTGTTTTGAAAATGAGAGCGCTAGCCTCTTAAAATAGAACCGTTTTTTTCTGAACTCCACAGCCTGTCAGGCAATTTTATATGCAGAAGCAAAAGGTACAATCTAACGGAAGAATACTGACAGATAATGATGACTTCTTTCTCTAGGTGTGATCAGCTGGTCGCTGGGACACAGAATTGACAGCGACTTGTTTGTGTTCTGTTTCTTTTTCAATGGAGTTCCCATCTGAATATATAAAATTCCCATCTGAATATATAAAGTTCTGAATATATGCAGGGCACTCCGTAATGCAGGGCTAATTGTAAGTATCTTTAGGAAAAGTAGAAAGTTAGCTTGGTGTTATCTCATATTCCTAAGAACCACCAGGCTCCTAAAGGGCACATGAATTTCTCTGGATGAAAATGTGAAAACAAAAAAACGTCCAGCATTTAGTAAAAAGTAAATGTTTTACTTTTTAAAAATTTTTAGTAAAGGCAGGACGTGGCAAGTGCACTGAGGAGTCATTAAGTCACAAAGAGGAAGCAAACACTTCTAGAGATAAAATCATGTTGTACAGCACTCTCACTTTACAGTTAAAAAAAAAAAATCGGACCGAAACTGGTTTGGCTCAATGGTTGAGCATCGGTCTGCGGACCGAAAGGTCCAGGGTTTGATTCCGCTCAAGGGCATGTACATTGGTTGCAGGTACATCCCCAATATGGGGCGTGCAAGAGGCAGCTGGTCGATGTTTCTCTCTCATCGACGTTTCTAACTCTCTATCTCTCTCCCTTCCTCTCTGTAAAAAATCAATAAAATATATTTTACAAAAATATATCGGTATCCCCTTGGAAAGAAAAAGAAAACTAAACCAGTTACCTGTGATGAAAGTAATTAGTGAAATCAGCTTTGGCAGCAGAGCAGGTGTTAGAAGGTGCCACAGGGAAGTAAGAGTGAGTGGAGTACAGGCCACCACACTGACAATCCCCAAGGAGAGGAAAATTCTAACTCGACAGGGGTGCTGACGGCGAGGCCCTCACCAGTGTGTGGCCCACTGACCAGGGCCAGTCCCTCCTGAGCAACAGGCCCTAAGCAGGACGATGGGCAGTTTTACAGGAGCACTATCACTAACGTCATACACGTCTGAAATAGTATCAGATGATATTCAGCTGTGTTCATAATTGTCACATTCTTTAGGATTGCACATGTACTCTATGTAGACTGTTTTGTGAATTTCAGCTAACCTTCTGGAAATAGGACCAGGTCAACTCAAGGCCTGGGAGGGGAGGGTGGAAGGTAGGTAGGAGTCAATGGAAAAGAAAGGGGGGGTGGGGAGAGGGTGAGAATCTGTTTTTCTTTCAACAATAAAGACCTATTTACTTTTTAAAAATATATATTTTATTGATTTTTTTACAGAGAGGAAGAGAGAGGGATAGAGAGTTAGAAACATCAATGAGAGAGAATCATAGATCAACTGCCTCTTGCACACCCCCTACTGGGGATGTGCCCACAACCAAAGTACATGCCCTTGACCCGAATCAAACCCGGGACCTTTCAGTCCGCAGGCCGATGTTCTACCCACTGAGCCAAACCGGTTTCGGCAAGACCTATTTTTTTTTTTTAATTCTCACGTGCCATCTAATCGTTCAATTTACTATTCATGCAGCTGATTTCTTCATTAGCATGATTACCAAACTAGTTCGATATTTTTAAAACTTAGCAATAAACTAATAAAACAAGTGTAATTCAGAGTAAATTCATAAAAGTAAACAGGTAACTGGAATCTAGTCCAGATTCAGACTGCAAAGTGAAGGCACTGGGGTGCCATGGCCTGACAACGGGATGATTTGGGACAAGACAACCCACAGAGCTAAGTGCTGTCCTGGACCCACTCCCCCCAGTCCCGAGGCCTCGCCTGTTAGGAAAGCAGGGAATGGCATGAAGCTGCACAGAACTCCTATCTGGTGAATGTCCTGGTTTTCACTGCCATCTCTGCTCATTCCAGGCAAACCTGATACATCATTTTTTACAGGACAATATACGAAAACGTGTGAGTTACATTCCAAGTCCAGTTGGTATGACGTCAGACTCGGGTGTTATCCACAAAAGGGGTGCGTACTTCTGAGGTTCCCGGTGTGCCGTCCAATCCTGGGGCCCTGATAGCTAACCTCTTAACGTCCCATGGAGAAATTTACCAACTTAAACAGCAGGAGGTAAGCAAAGGTATATAGTTTGCCATGTTTTCATTTAAAGTCATCCTCTTCAGCAGATAGTATGGAAGACTCTCACAGTGATAATGAACTCTATTAGTTCCTCTGAAATTTTCTCTGAAATGCCCCTTTAATTATTACCCAACTCTAGGAGATGTCCTCCCAAAACCATTAAAAAGAATTTTTTTAATGCCCGATTCAACTCTCTCCCCTTCCTCAGTTCTTAACTTTTCTTCCCAAACTCTAAGTCTCTACCTAGTTAGGTAATAGTCCATAATAGGGCATTTTTTGCTAGCATTGTACATTTTTATCTGTGTTTTTATTTATGAGTGCATCTTTTGTCACTCAATATCGTAAGCATAACATTTTTGGTATGTTGTGCAAAATATACCTGTTCCTGTATCAGAAGTGGCTACTTGGTAACAACCACATTAAATGTTCCACGATCAATTCATCTTCACTAGTTATTTTGTTACTTATAATAAACATTTGAGTGTGTTTTTGCTACTTTTTAGGAAATTGGGGGGGGGGGGAGCGAGTGGTAGTTCAATATACAATGTGTTAAAACTCTTCCCTTTAAAATAATAGACCGAGTAAATGTTTCCATGCAGAACATCTGTTTTATCAGGAACAGGAGATGTTAAACAGGAGCTTTTGAACAATGATATTTCCGGTTGTGTTTTTCTTTTTCCCCCCCGTAGAACATCCCACAAAATAATGGGTTTTGTTTTTCTTAGAGCAAATATCAATTTCATCTCTTAAGGAAAGACTACCATCGTTATTAAGAAGTATTTCTTAGAGAAAACATATCCTCAAGTAAAAAAAAAATATTACACAAATAAGGAAAAGCTGTAAAACTGTCCACTAAGTAAGGACTTATATGATGTTTGGAGAGAAAACAGAAAGGACTACTAGAAAGTTCTATTACTATGGCACTGGTGGGTTCCACATTCAATCCATCACAAATGGGCAGGATAATTAATAATTGCTATCATGCATGTATGTGTGAACTATATGAAATATTTAAGACATAAATAAACATAATAAAAATATAGCCAACCTTTGTGGGCCCACAGAGCCTGAGACACGGAACATTACAGAGTGAAAGCTAGCAGGTATTCTGATATGCGCCAGGACAAAATACCTGTGTGCAGCGTATGAAATATGTCTTAATGGACTTGTCATATAGGTACGCAGTAGAACTGCTGGATGACATTTTTTTCTGTTTATCACAGAAAAAAAATTTTTTTTTTTCATGGTGCAATGTGGAGTGGAAATCCCTGATGGAATCAGACAGAGAGAGCACCAGCTAGTGCCAGCGATAAAGGGTGCTGCCTACAAAACAAAGAAGCAGGAATTCAGGTCAGATGGACGGAAATGCTCAAGACAGCCCCTGCCATGCCCAGTCTATAAATCAGGCTGCCAGTTCTGGGCTTCCAATTCCATTGCTTCTGGCATAGCGGGGAGGGCAGGAAGCCATGGTTCCTGAGTTCCAGCAGAAGGAAGCCCTGATGAAAGGGAAGGCAGAGTAATAAGAATTAAAGGGCCAGAGCCTAGCCCCAAACTACTTTATTTGGGAAAATATTGAGGGTTCATAGTATAGCTTCTGATTTGGAAGTCCTCGTGTTGATGGCAATAGCATCTATTTATCTTTGGTGCATGTTGTAATTTAGAGGATTTCTGAGGAACAAGATTCTGCTCTCCATTCTCAACATATTCTGACAGTTCTCTCCCTCAATAACCTACGCAGCAGTGACTACCACTGTGTAACAAATCACCCCAAACTTAACTGCAAAAAGAACAAACATTTTATCATGCTCACCTATTCTGTGGTCAGAATTCAGAAAGGGGACATGTGTGCTCCATGGTGCCTGGGCCTCCGCTGGATGATGGTTGGGGTCATACTCCTGGGGGAACTGGTGCTGGCTGGCAGCTGGGACCTCAGCAGGGGCTATCTGCTGGAACTTCACACAGGGCTGCTCCAGGGAGCTGCTTGGACCTCCCTCACAGTAGGGGGTTGGGTTTGAAGAGCAAGCATACCCAGAGAGCCCAGCAGGAGCTGCATTACCCTGTCTAACACAGCCTCTGACAGCATCCCTACTGCTGGAGTCACAAACTCTCCTAGAGGCAAGAGGCCACACAGCCCCACCTCTCATCAGGAGGAGAGAAGTCCCACGGTAGGAAGAGCCCTGTGTGGGGCTATCTTCATGGCCTGATTTAGGAATCAGCCTGCCATCCTGAGTGCCAAGGAGATGGGGCCTCAGCTACGTTCTCGAAATAAGGAATGAGATGAGACAATTTGATCCATGTTCAATATCCAGAGAGCCACATAACACTAGCAACTGAAACCGAACCTGTAATTGTAAATTAGAGTATTATGACTTAGTTTAAATTTTTTAAGTAATTTAAAAGGAAAGTGGGAGTATAAAAGTTGATATATGGATTAAGTTATTCATCAATAAGCCACATCTGGACACCTTTGTTACGGATGACAAATATCCCCTGGCTGGAGTGGCTCAGTTGGTTAAGCATCCTCTCATGCACCAAAGGCTCGCTGGTCAGGCCCCACATGTGTAGACGCGGGCTTGATCCCCAGGAGGAGGTACACAGGAAGCAGCCGATCAATGTTTCTCTCTCCCTCTCCCTCTTCCTTCCTCTCTC